AAGCATCTATGCATTCACGGACTTCCTTGAGCTTCTCTTGGCTGTTTGTGTACAGATTTGACCATATAGCATATGACTCCGTCTGTGACTGGGTGCTTTGTGGCTGTTCTGGTGGAGGTGTTGCTCTTGCCTTCTTTTCATTTCCGTGCACATTCTTCACCACGATTCTTCTTTTGCGAGGCTCTCCTGGTTGATCGGTTGCCGTGTTGGTAGTCAACTTCGTTGGCGTTGTTGGTGTTTGACGGTTGAGAGGGCTGAGATCAAAGGATGGAATGTCGTCTTCCCTTGTCACTTTAGGCTTCTCAGCAGCTTCGGTTGTCAGTTTTGGAGCCTCTTCTCGAACAACATCATCTGACACCGTTTTCTCGCTGTCAGTTTCTGCAGTCTTTTGTGCAGCTTGCCCTGTATTCCCTTCTTCTGTTGTTTCCTTATCAACTTCCATTGGATCTGCTGTTTTGGTAGCTCCTTTTTCTTCGGTTTCTTCTGCAGATGTCTGTTCTGGAACTGCTTTCTAGGTGTCCTCTTGTTGTGGTGTTCCCTGATTCAGACCTTCTTGAACAGATTGTTCTGGTGGTTCTGTTGCAACTTCCCCCAGTGGATCTCCTTCTTTTGGGATGCTTTCCCTATTCACAGCTCCTGGAGCAGAATCATCTTGCTCCTTTTCTTTTGGCTTCGATGTAGATGCAGCAAGATCGACTGTAGATGGTTGTGAATCATCTTCTTTCTGTGTTTGCTCCTCGTTCTCCTCTTCGTTCTGGTCTATGTTTGTCTGTTTGAATATTTCATTGAGTGTTTTATTCAAACTGGCATGCATTTCTTCTTCATTCTCTTCTTCATCATCTTCACACTGAGATTTTTCTCCTTCTGTGGGCTGAACATATTCATCACAGCTTTCTTTCGCAAGATTCTCCTTGTGTCTGATCAGATTGTCAATTTGGCTTTTGTACTGGTCTTTGATTGCTTTCATCATTGCCTTCATTGATGCTTCAAGCAGTTTGATTGCATTCTCAGCCTGCATAATGGGAGTATGGTTAGTTACCATGGTGGTAATACATGGTATTGGCAATTATTATCACTATTCTGCATTTTTTATAACATGAAACTATATCTTACCACACCTTACCATATGGTAACAAAGTAAAACAGAACAAGAATTATGGTTTCTTCCATTTTTATAACATGAAACCATTGCTTACCACACATTACCATATGGTAACGTAGTAAAACACAACAGGACTTATGTTTTCCTCCATTTTTATAACATGAAACCATAGCTTACCACACCTTACCATATGGTAACAAACTAAAACACAACAGGACTTATGGTTTTTTGCTTTTTTACAACATGAAACCATAGCTTACCACACATTACCATATGGTAACAAAGTAAAACAGAACAAGAATTATGGTTTCTTCCATTTTTATAACATGAAACCATTGCTTACCACACATTACCATATGGTAACGAAGTAAACCACAACAGGACTTATGTTTTCCTCCATTTTTATAACATGAAACCATAGTACCACACCTTACCATATGGTAACAAACTAAAACACAGAAGGACTTACGGTTAGCATGAATTGGACAACTGTAATATAGATAATTTGTACTTACTTGGTTGACTGTTCTGATATTATTCAAATCAAAGTTCAGTGATGATGACTGGTCTGGACTTTTGTTTCTTTGTTTTTTCGGTGATTCATAGACTGGCTCATTCTCCTCTTCCTCATCAGCTGCATCATCAGCCTCATCGTCACTAATGTTGGCAACCTTTTCGATCTCGTTCAACTCTTTTCCATTGTAGTAGCTCTTAATGTTCTCAAAGTTGCTATCAACATTGTTATCATCATAGTAGCTTACTGTTGGTGTTCGAAGCTGGGTTGAGAATGCCATTTCGTCCAGTTTGTACATGAAGCATACCTTTTTATGCATATAGTTGTATTAGTTTTTTCAAAGAGTATCATTTATATATAAAATATATGAGTAACAAGGTTGAAATGGCCAAGGGAATGGAGACTTACTGTAAGGAAGTGAAGATCTGCATTGACGTAGAGCTTTGATGATTTCAATCCTTCATTCATGTGGTTGAAGAAGTATTTGCACCAGTTGTAGCTGGTGAAATGTTTCAGTTCATCAGTCTTCAAGTACTCAAGCATGTTGAGTTCAGCCATAGGGGCTGAAGTTGGGCACAGCAAGCCTCCGGTGACCAGCAGAAAGAACAATTGTAACCATCTCTTACTGTTTGTAACTGTAGAAATATCTTTTTCTACCTGACTTAGCTTTACCCTTGGAGTGGATTTTCCATCTACTTCCAGTAGGGTTTCTATTGCATAATCTGCTGCGTCGTCCCAAGAAATCGTGGAAGGTACAACTTCCCTATTCCCCATTGGCAGACCATATACCCTATGAAAGTCGATTGGTGATATCTTCATGCGTGTCCCGTCAGGTAGCTTGAAAGATTGTTTCATTGGATTGTATTTGTTCATTACGAACAATGCAAAATGGTTGTTTATCTTTGTCTGCTTGATTGATATTAAGCCTTCTAGGCCTAATATCTCAAGTTTCTCTTTCTGATCATCTTTTATAGTCCTTGCAATTGCAGATATTCTTGTTGGGCTGCACCTTGTGCGAAAATTTTTTCTTTGCTTTACCATAGTGTACCTGAATGTAGAAATTAGGAATAGTCTGTTAGCGTGCTTTTTACCATAATATACCATATGGTACCATAATGGTTTCCTACCATACCAAATCAAACCATATATTTATCACATTTTACCATATGGTAATTACATCAAACCATGTCTTATAACATATTACCATATGGTAACGAAGTAAAACACAACAGGATGTATGTTTTCCTCCATTTTTATAGCATGAAACCATAGCTTACCACACATTACCATATGGTAACAAACTAAAACACAGCAGGACTTATGGTTTTTTGCTATTTTACAAGATGAAACCATAGCTTACCACACTTTACCATATGGTAATAAACTAAAACACAGCAGGACTTATGGTTTTTTTGCTATTTTACAACATGAACCATAGCTTACCACACTTTACCATATGGTAACAAACTAAAACACAGCAGGACTTATGGTTTTTTGCTTATTTACAACATGAAACCATAATTTACCATACATTACCATATGGTAACAAACTAAAACACAGTAGGACTTATGGTTTTTTGCTTATTTACAACATGAAACCATAATTTACCATACATTACCATATGGTAACTAACTAAAACACAGCAGGACTTATGGTTTTTTGCTTATTTACAACATGCAATCATAATTTACCACACATTACCATATGGTAACAAACTAAAACACAGCAGGACTTATGGTTTTTTGCTATTTTACAACATGCAATCATAACTTACCACACATTACCATATGGTAACGAAGCAAAACACAGCAGGACTTATGGTTTTTTGCTATTTTACAATATGCAATCATAATTTACCACACATTACCATATGGTAATGAAGCAAAACACAACAGATTCTACATCAGTTCAGCAACGCATGGTAACAATTCGGTAATTTAGCGAGTTTACTACAATTTTCACATGAAGAGTGACTGCGATACTGTTCTATTGTTCTGTGGATGGATTTCGAAGAAAGAAGTGAGGTTTTACCTTGATATTTTGTGTGAAAACGATTTTTGAGCCTCGTTGAAGTTGGAAACTCTTCGTTTTTCGACGAAGAAGCGAGAACAGTGTATCGTTGAATGATTCTTCGAAAACCTTTGCGAAAATCGTTCGATTTGAAGTTTTTTTCTGGAAGTTTTTGCTGCGATTTTGGTGAGAGAATTGAGGATCGGGAGGAAGAATGGAGAGTTAGAGAGCAGAGGGAAGTGGAACTGTCGCTTGGAAGGTGAGAGGAAGAAGGAGAGAAGGCGGGACGGTTGTCGCTGTCACGTCTGCAATTCAAATTGTCAGAGACGTGATTACATTTTTGCCCCGCGTGTATTTAATTGGCATGATCTGACGGCTGGGAAGATGGCGCGATGGACGGTCGGATCAACGGTTACTGACCGTTACTGATAGGTCGGTTACTGATAGGATCCGGACCCGTGTTCGTCTATATAGTATTGGAAAGAAAGATAGATGGTAATTAGTAGATAAGGTAAAGAGACGCTGAGTGCAGTGATAGGGTGGCTAGGGTTTTGCAGTAGATATGTATATATGAACTGGTAAATTACTGAATGATACTTACAGGATACAGTTCAATTACATAAATTGTCAATTTTTACTATCTTAATATATATATGGTGGCGTCTTCGGCGCACTCACTTTTTTGGGTGCATTCAGTGCACTCGCTTCATAACCGTCATTTTAAACATGCAATTTATGTCAAAATGATGTCAATCATCACTTATGATGTGATGGACAATAACGCACATGAATTTGCACAAAAACCATTGAAGATTTACTTTAATTTGAAGGATTTAGAGTTTAGAGATTTAGGGTTAGGGTTAGAGTTTACAATTTGGGGTTTAGGGATAGAACTCAAAATTGGAGGTCTAGGGCTTAGGGTAATCTGCTAATTAGTTGTTATCATATGTTATATCATCATATTACACTAATTCTACAAATTAAAATTCAAAATCCCACACCTTAAGACTAGTTTTGAGTAGGGTGCATTGAACACACTCATTTTTGTGAGTGCACCGAAGTAGTCACCTATATATATAGCAAAGACTGTACCTATGTTCATACTTGATTTTTGCATTTTAATATATTTCGTTAAATTAAAACCCTTGATTATTATTTTTTAGATTAAATAAATTTTATAGCTTGGGTTAGAGAATTAGGGACCGAAGTTCACTTATTAAAAGTTAGAGTATAATATCGTACCCCAAACACCGGTTAATTCATGCTCTAAATAGTAAAACTCGATAGGTGGACAATGTACATCCCTCAGTTACGCTAGCCTGAACTATATATTCAACATCCATATAAAACGTTCACATTAGACCCATTTGGACCATAAAATGTCAAACCAGTTGTTGAATTGAATCGGCCGAATGGTTTAAATTGGTTTGTCAACCTTCCTACGGAACCCAAACTAAACGAGCAAAGGGGGCAGGCGGCGAAGCACGGAGAGGCCGCAGCTGCCTGATTTGTAGAAGCGGGAAGAGGGCAACAGAGCTAGGCCTCAACCTCGAGGGAGCGAGTTGGCTACTCCTGCTGGCTGGTCGTAGAAACAAGCGAGAGAGTGAGGCACAAGGCTGACTGAAGCAGAATAATCCCCCAGAGAAAGCCGCTTCGGAGCTGTCGCGTGCTAACAGCCGTTTCCGATCATCGTTTCTGCCCTCCGAGGTATCCTTTCTTCGTACCTTTTTCTCTCCCTCCGGCTGCCATGGGTAGCCTTTTGTGCTTGCTTCTTCACATATTCGTTTCGTGCTTGGGATTGAGTTTTATTAGTATTGTTTGCGTCCTTCCTAATGCAAGTGTTGGCGGTCGGGTTGAGAGACTCCTTGTGTGATTGGCCTCGATGGCTCTGGCTGTTTGTGTCAGCTGCACCTATAACCTGCCTGCTGTTGTCACTTTCCACATGTGGATGTAGCTGGTTGATGGCTCCGTGGCCTTTACTTATGATTCGTTGCTAGGTCAATGTCTGGTTTTAAGGGGATGGCATCATCGTTGCTTGCTTGATGCATCTACGATTCTACATCAATGCTTACACGTGTTGTGTTGTTGATGTTGATTTGGTTGGCAAGCTTTCGACCTTGTCTTCGATTATTAAACTCTGATGGATCCTGTTTCAACAGCTGGATACGTGCTAGGTTTATGCTCTTTGTCGTCATGCTTCAGATCCATTGTTGCACTTCCAGAAATGTAGGGTTACTTGAGTCCTTTCGGAAGCAGAATTGAGAACTAGTCTTAGTTTATACGTTTTAATTTCGTTGCTGCCAGAATTTTGATCACATCCAAGTTAGAATCAAATCAAAATTCATTTCTTCATTGATATAACCTTATCTGTCGAGTTCCTTCTCCATTACAGCAAATTTGGCTACTTCTCTTTGCAGAGAGTGCAACTTAAGAGGTTTGATGGCTGGCGGCACAGATGTTGCGACTACAACTACTCTGTCGTGTGCTCAATGTGGCAAGCCTGCACAGCTGCAGTATGAAATATTTTTTTAGTCTTATTATTAGTTTCCAGTCAATGTACCTCACGAGTTCTTCTGGACCTATTTTGTAATATCTGATGCTACAACATCTTCCTCTCTAATATTTTTTGTTGCATTTATTTTTGAAACAGGTGCCCTAAGTGTGTGGAATTAAAGCTTCCTCGCGAAGCTGCTTCATTCTGGTATGTGCTCGAATCCACAATAAACTTATCGTGCAGTTTCATTTTGCTCTTGTTGCAGACTAATCAGAAGAATGGTCATCCTAGATTGCCTTTAATGACTTAGCCATTAGTGGTTTCCTTTGTCTAAGGGCCACTCTTTTGCTTAGTCATGCTTTAACAAGACAGTGTTGAGGGCATTCAGTATGAACATTTATGTATTTTACGATTCATTAGTTTTTCTTATCTATAAGAAATGAGGAACTCTGTTCTTTTCTTCTTACATATCATGGTCAATGTAGGTGGGAATGAGGTTAGCTCATGAATTGAGAATCTCAAAGCAGCCCTCACTATCCGTTGGTTAATAACTGTGAACCAAAGTCTTTGTAGTTGCAGTTATTGGAAGATTCATATGCCGGCTTTTGCTTCTGGTATTATTATCAAATGTCGTGTCGTGTGATTCATGATGTCTTTGTACCATGTGAAAGCTAGACAGGAATTGGCTGCTTATATAATGATTGCATTTTCACTTTCTGCTTGCAATCGAAGTGAAATAATTTATATATAGTTCCCAGACACATTTGAAGGTTGTGATTCTATGGCTCTTTACAGCACACAGGATTGTTTTAAGGCTTCATGGAGCACTCATAAATCTGTTCATCTGAAAGCGAAGCTGTCCTCCATCGGCACAGGAACAGACGATGTGAAGTCAAATTTGCCTGAGGGTTGGCTATATTGCTTGAGGAAAGGGCAGGGTCGAACTTCCAAACTTCCTCAGTTTGATTGGACAGGGTATTTCTCTCTGTTATTTACTTATATTCTGAGTACTCCTTGTCTTCTTACCTTACATCACTTATTAACTGGTGCTTATCAATGAATTTGGTTGATCTGTGGATTCTGGTTATTGAGAATTATCTTTGGCTAGTGGCTTTGATCAGATTGGGTGGGGTGAGGAACAATGTGGACTAGCTTCTGGTGTTTCTGTCCTACAATCATTTATGAGTTAGATGCATTTTGTACCCGTTTTGTACTTGAGCTTCTTTCAGTAAAGCCCAAACAAACTTCTAAAAGAACCCTCAACTGTTTACCAGCAGTCACTATTGATTACTTCCACCTCGTCCCCCTCTCCTCATCGTAGATTAAATGCTTTGGGAAAAATACACTAATTATCACCCAATACCTATTTTTTGTCATTACAATCTATCCCTACATATTTTGCTATTGTAAGTCATTTTCGGTGCTGAAAGGTTTTTAGGTATTCCCTGCTAGACATTCTAGTCCAGTGCCACTAGAAGCTCCCTATATAAGTTTTCAGGTTTCCTAGGCATGCCGAAACAAACCTGGCCATAAACTTGCACAGGTGTATAATTATGGTTAACTATATGATTTGCAATATAGACACTATCCTGTTTTCTTAAACTATCACCTGTGAAGTCCTTTTTGTGTTTCATTTTTCATTTTCTTCCTTGCCTCTCGATTGACAGCATGTATCTTACTCTATTTTACCTCTTTGATATGGTGGCTGTGTTTTCTCAGGGCGCTAAGGCCATATCCCATTTCTCCTAAGCGTGCTATACCTGCTCATGTTGAACAACCAGATTGGGCATTAGATGTGAGTTGTCAGAGGTTTCTGTTTAGTGTTTTTGTTTCATGAGAGGCACTTTATGTTGCTGCTTTCTTTTCTAGTGCCCAATCTGTGTTTTATGGTTATTGGCATATACTCATCTCAAGGAATTCATTTTGCTGACAATTCTGTACTTTGTCTGTTTTGGCTCTCTTCTATAAATACTTCAACTATTTTCAACTCTCATCTGCAGGGCACCCCAAAAATCGAACCCAATAGTGATCTTCAACATGTTGTGGAGGTAATTGCTATTTTTGATCCTCATCTTAACATCTGAACCATTTTAATTCCTCCTGATATATGTTTTCCTTTCCTATTTGGCTTTACAATCATGCTGTATTGGTTCTTATTCCAGATAAAAAATCCAGATCAAATTCAGAGAATGCGAGAAACTTGCCGAGTAAGTGTATCTCCTCTTTGAAGTTGGATAATGAAAAATTAGTGTCCTTATTGTGGCTACTTCTATCTAGTTGCATTAGTTTTAAATCCTCGCTGGTATTTGCTGGTGTATTGACACTTTCGCATCTTTTCTATTTGATGCTTAGTCTCTCCTTAGTGTATATTCCTTTGAGATCCCTAAAGTAGGAGAATTTCACGCCCATTTGATTCCGTTGCTTTTATGAGCTGATATTTTTCAAGACGGATGAAATTTGTATGTTATACAAATGTGTATTCGGCAAAAGTTTTTTCAGATAAGGATAATGATAAGATGCTTGGATGGCCTTTTTAACAACAGAAAATCAAAGAAGGAAAAAGTATTATGTTTTACTTGATACTGCACAAGCGACCAGGTGTGTAAAGGCAGGTTCCGACTAATATGTGTACATGTGTGGGCATTGTCTAACTTATGCTCGACATATTGTGTTTCATGTTTGAATAGTAGATGATGTGTGAGTTCAAGGCTACATTTCTCCTCTCTCTCTCTCTCTCTCTCTCTCTCTCTCTCTCTCTCTCTCTCTCTTTCAGTCTGTAACTACAAGAACTGTCTTTCCTTGCAGATTGGAAGGGAGGTTTTGGATGCAGCTGCAAGGATAATAGCTCCTGGTGTTACAACTGATGAAATTGATCGAGTGGTCCATGAGGCAACTATTGCAGCTGGTATTTTACTTTTTTCTACAGCATATCAATTAGTTATTGGTGATGAGCTATCGTTACCTTTTTGTGCCTAAAACTCTTTCTTTCAGGTGGATACCCATCTCCTCTGAACTATCACTTCTTCCCGAAATCATGTTGCACGTATGTAGCCTTCTGTGGTCACTTTTGAATTTGGTTGAGTGTACTTTATGATTTAGAAGATATTACTGTCTGTTGCAGGTCAGTTAATGAGGTCATCTGCCATGGAATTCCTGACGCTAGGTATGCCCATTCATCTTCTAGTTTAAAGTTTCCCTTGGTATAGCTTTCTAAATTTGGAAGATGGAGATGTCTTACATCGATGAGCATTTGTATTTGATATCCGTAACTGTAATTATTATGAGCGTTTATATTGGATTCACAAAGACATTGTACTTGGTCGAAACTAATTGATGTTTAACATCACAGGAGGTTAGAGGATGGTGATATCGTGAACATTGATGTAACTGTGTACTACAAAGGTGTTCATGGTAAGAGATCTGTATGACCTTTATTGAGGTATACAAATTCAATATTTTTTCGGTAGCTTAACATTTTTTATCCCCTCTGCAGGTGATCTTAATGAAACGTACTTTGTTGGAAATGTTGATGAAGAATCTCGAAAGCTGGTCCAGTGCACTTATGAATGCTTGGAAAAAGCAATCCAAATTGGTATGTGGCCTCTATCTATATTAATATTACGGTTCATTTCAACTTTTGTGACCCTTAAGTATGCTACTGGGAGGAGGAATGGTTATGTCATAGTCTTCATTTTTCTCTCTTCTCTTTCTACTTGATGATTTTGAGTGTTGAAAGCAGGAAAAGTTTTTAGAGAAAGAACAAGCCTTCTGGGCACATCAATTGTCTGTGTATTAATTTAGGTGGTATTAAGATTGTGCACCACCTATACCTATGCAATGACTTAATTTCTGAGTTTTTGTGTCGATGTTTATGTGAATTTAGTGAAACCTGGTGTGCGATTTCGTGAAGTTGGAGAAGTTATTAATCGTCATGCCACAATGTCGGGTTTATCTGTGGTATGTATTCAATCCTAAATTGTGTGGATCTATAGTTGTACTAAACTCGCTTAAATTGATGATGTCTCCCTCCCTCTTTCTTAATTCTCCCCATCTCTGTGAACAGGTGAAGTCATATTGTGGTCACGGTATTGGGGAGCTTTTCCACTGTGCTCCAAACATTCCCCACTATGCAAGTATCCTTTTTAATGCAGCCATGAAAGTAGTCTCTTTTTCCGATATTAATGTAGATTAAGTGAATAATGAATGCAACATTAAGGATTATTTGTGAATTGCAAACCTTAACATAAATACAGGAAATAAAGCAGTTGGTGTGATGAAGGCTGGACAGACCTTCACCATTGAACCGATGATTAATGCAGGTAGTTAACTTTGTCGACGGGGTCAATGCTTCTTAGGTATCTATAAGTTGAACATTCCTTGCTAGCAACTATCATGACGGAATGGCATGGTTGTCCTGATATATGTAGGTGCTTGGCGAGATCGGATGTGGCCTGATGGATGGACTGCTGTGACTGCAGATGGCAAACGCAGTGCTCAGTTTGAGCACACTCTGTTGGTACTTGCATGCTTTCAGAATCTTTTGTACTTTCTGTGATTCCTGATCAAAATTCAGTAGATTTTGGCACTATATCAACAATATTGTGCGACCACACCTGTGCATAATCATCGGATTGATTATGAATTTTCAGGTGACAGAGACGGGAGTTGAAGTGCTCACTGCACGGCTTCCGACATCCCCAAAAATGTTCCCATGGTTAAATGAATAAGAATAAGTGGATGAGCTGTACTGAGCGGCTGATGGCGGTCTTGTATCATCCTGGCCGAAGTTTTGTATTAATAAAACTGGAGCTTTAGATGAGTTTATAATTGGTGGACTACATAATGGTCATTCAGTTTTGAGTTTAGGAGTCCAAAGGGGGCCTCATGTTTGCCAAATAATGACTCCATAGGGAAACATATACAGATACTTACCCCGGCAATTGGGGGTCCTAAACCTCGTCAGGTCTTTATATTATCTCTCTGTATCTGCATTTGCAGTGATGTTACTACTCTGTTCGTATTTTGGAATTCTCGAACCTCTTGGACATTGTGTAAATTCTGTCGGTCTGTGTTCGCTTCGTTTTCTCTGTGTTCCCATTGATTTTGGGTGCTTCTGTTGGTGGGAAAGGATCACGGGCTGGCTCAGCCTTTGTTACTGAATATTAATGGTCATCGACTCATCGGTTTGGTGCTCAACTTCGCCACTGGGGTATGTTTTCGATTGGGACAAGTCTAATCAGTTCCGACTCAGCTTGCCTTGCATTATTTGCGCCTTTGATTTGGGAACACAGCCGTGCGTGCAACTTCAAAGCTATATTACATTCGAAATCCGAAAGATGATGTAGCGTACGAGGTTGAGGAGCCTCCTAGCAAGACAAAAGACGAAAAAAAAGCTATATTACATTCGAATTTCGAAAGATGATGTAGTGTACGAGGTTGAGGAGCTCCTAGCAAGACAAAAGACGAACAAAAAAAGCTACATTACAGACGAACAAAAAAAGCTACATTACATTCGAACTCTGAAAGATGATGTAGTGTACGAGGTTGAGGAGCCTCCTAGCAAGACAAAAGACGAACATAAAAAGCTATATTACATTCGAACTCCGAAAGATGATGTAGTGTACGAGGTTGAGGAGCCTCCTAGCAAAACAAAAGACGAACAAAAAAAAGGGAGGTCTTCTAAGCCAAACAAGAAGTAATTGCTCTCGATTTAGGGATTTAGCGACAGGGAGGGAGGCGGAAAGGTGGAGAAGTTCGATGAATTTTGGAGAGTGCAATAAAGTAGGGAGTGGGGAATTTTTTATTTTATTTTTGTCATTAGATCACTCTTGAAAAGAGGAACATACAAAGATACGTAGGCTTACAACAGAACTAGCCTACCGCCAAACAAAACAACGAAGTCGAACCTTAAAAACCATTTAAGGCGACAAACACAGAGCACGAGTGGCCACCAAATGAGCCGCCCTGTTACCAACAAGAATACTACTTGCCACCAAACCTAGAAAAGTACAAATCTATGACACCCGCATTAACAACGCGAACATCCCAACCCATGCAATTAGCAAATACCACCTTTGCATCTCGTGCTGTTGTAGCCTTCCAATGATTTGAATGATAATCCATTAATACCAACCCAACAGAGCCATACATCTGCTGCAAATTGGGAATATGAAAAAGAAGAGCAGCACTGCATCCTCTTCCTGAATAAGAAACCCCCCCAGTATGCACCACGGAGTGGGGAAATTTTATATTAGGGTGGGCTGGTGGGGTTAACGGCTGAGAGATGTGAGGTTTGGGCTGACAGAGTGCATTTGAGTGGGCTGGGGTAGGAGATTTATGGGCCAGGGGGTGGGCTGAGGCCTGAAATGTGGGATTGGATATGTTTTTTTGGTTGTTCAATTCGGAATTCCGGTTCAGTCGACACCACCCTGATTTTCGAAGTATGAAATTTTCTCTTCCGAATTTCGAACCAATTAGTATGCGATTCGGTTTCGGTCGGTTTGGGGTCAGTTCGGTTCGGTTAGGTTCGAAAGAGTGAACCCAAATCGGATGCCGACCTACTCTCATGCCAGCATTGCTAGCGTTAGAGTCATCCTTTCCTGAAAATTTTAGAGAGCTGCCAGTAAGAAACTACTCTCTTCTAGGGTGGCTTTGGGTCGGGTTACCTGATTCAGGCTTAATTGTACACATTTTACCACTCATATCTTGATCGTTTAGCTTAGTAATTCATCGTTCCTCTAAATATTTCGTGCTTGTTTTTATACATTTCAGGTCCTAGGATGTGTGGAAGGGTTGAAGACGAGTTTTGGGATAATTGGAGGTCAAAAAGCGCAAAAAACAGAAGAAAAGTCTGAACCGTGACAATTGCCCCGTAACAGTGAAGGGCAGGCGTCAAGAAACAGCCGTAGTTCACGACCGGACAAGGCAGTTCACGGTTTCCTAAGACCGTGAACTTCGACCACAAATCGTGAACACCGAGGCGTCCAGCGAGGTTCCAGAAGTTACTGACGACAAGGCAGTTTAGGGTCTCTAAGACCGTGAACCAGGAAGCAAAGCGGTGCGTTTTGGAGACGACTGAGTTCACGGACGCGTTTAGGTGTTCACGGCTGTGAACTGGCCAACGCATCTGATAGCATCGTATTTGCACGTGTTTTCACTCTGGGTTCCTGCCCATTTTGGCTCGAATTGATTGTTCCTTGGCCTATTTTACGCTAGGTTGTGTTCCTTTGTCACATTTCAGGTCCTAGCACATAAAGTGAAGTATAGGCGCAAGTTTCAAGTCAATCAGAGAAATTGGCGATTCGGGAGAAGAAACTCTGGCATGACCTGAAGAAGAATGGATTTCTACCTCACTTTATGGACAAAGAATCGTGCAAGTTTGACATGAAAAGAAAGAGGACAAGACTACGAGCGTCTGGGATCAAACGGCGACTGATTCGGAGTCCGGACGAGGGAGAAACAAAGCATTGAATATAGGGGAACAGGTTCGGCAGTAAAAACACGGGCAGGAGGCCTTCAAAACACGGCCGTGTTCTGTGACCGTGCTTTTACTGCCGAGAGCAAATCCGAGTTTGGCAGACATGAGCTGATTACACGGGCAGGGCTGAGACAAAGCACGGGCGTGTTTTCACCAAAGCACGGCCGTGTTCTCACTAAAGCACGGCCGTGTTTTCACCAACATGTGGCCGTGTAATTAACCCTGGCCAAAGCACGGGCGGGCTGAGGCAAAGCACGGCCGTGCCCTCGACAGTGCTTTGGCCAGTGACGCCCTTTTAGGCAGATTTTCAGCCAAAGAGAAGGGAATTCGATTTTCTGGGCAAAAACAGAGTTTTAGAGAGAGAAAGAGCGAAGAACAAACCCTAGGAGCTATCTTGGAGTGGATTTCTCATCATTGAAGCCCGGATTGCGTTCCTAGGAGTGAAGATTGACATCCCAGAGCAGATTTTCCTCATCTTTATGAGTATGACTACTCTGATTTCTGTTTTTCTTTCTCTCTCTATGGAGTAGAACCTCTCTCTCACTTGGGTATGAAGAACCCTAGTTCCTGATGTTAGGGTTTTGATTGTAATGACTTGGGAATGATATTATTGTTTGATTTTAATCGAATGACGCATGTTTCATGAATTGATTTGAGTCTGATCAGCTTTTCTCAATTTCTGCTTCAACCTGAGATAGATAGAATCTGATTAGGTTGTTAGAGCCTCTTCATTCGATAGTAGGAGATTGGCTATACGAGAGTTAGCCAGTTTACTGCTTTGTACTGGTGTTCTTGACGCCAGTAGTGGAGTTCTGTGTTCATAGCCTCAGCTTCTATCCCGGTGAAGACTAGTCGTCTGCCGGGTAGTTAGACTGAGAGGGCTTGGTCCAGCTTAAGAGATTCCAAGCTACTGTCGGATCTTCCGCAGTCTAATCAACAGTAAATCAACCCAGGGAATTGCAATTGAACCTAACTAAGGGGCTAGGGGGACTCAATCCCGAGTGACTCTTAACTGCTTTTGAAAACCGAACCATTTCCTGCTTTCTTACTACTTTTGCTTTAAACAACAATCACTCGAACTAGTTTGCTAGATAATAGAGAATCACGGAGTAAGCAGTAGATCTAGACCCCGGGTTGATAATATAACTTGCCTGTTACTGCATTCCCGGACTGCGATTACACTTGGTCGCAGTTTGGTGTTGTGTTTTGGCGTGTCAAGTTTTTGGCGCCGTTGCCGGGGAACCTCTAGGTTATTGGGGAAACGTGAGAATTTGTTACTCTAGCTTTTATTTTCTGCATTTCTTTCTTCCCCTATCATTGCTTCTTCTCCCACTTCTAGTCAATCCCCAATTGTACCCCAGGGCCATGTCTTCAAGTAGCTCAGTTACTTGGGGCGGAGCCATATTCATCAATTTCCCTAGACACAAGGAGTCAATGAGAATTTTATCTTGTTGAATTAGACCTCCATAGAAGGTTTCAATCCGAAACTGTTCTTCAAATCCGTGGTGAGGGCACTGAAGAAAATAATCGAGTACCTCTCCCAAGCGCCCCTCAAGGTCGTCCTCTTCTTGCTCGAAATGGGCAATCTTCTTTCTCCACTCCGCCGTCTTCGAAGGCGGGCAGTAGCGAGTCATAAACTTGTAGAGGAGGTCGTCTCATGAGGTGATTGACCGAGGTGGGCGATTGTTTCAGCCGGCACACCATCGATTTTCAAACTCCCCGCGAGCTCCAAGAATCTCTGCACGTGCTCTCTTGGTGACTTTCTCTCAAGGCCGTGGAACAAAGCATTGCTTTATATCATATTCACTAGAGCCGGCTTGATCTCGAAATTGTTTGCCGCCACTGGAGGATGTAGGATTGGCGATTGAATGTCCGCTGGGCGTGGGGCCATATAGTACTCCATTGTCCTCAGGGCTTCCTCTTCCTCCGCCGCATCATTTAGCTGACGAGCTTGGGCGGCTACATCTTGTCTTTGGTTCCCGCCATTTCAACTCCAACCACGGTTCAACTTCCACTTCTTCAACTTCTTCTCCACAAACACCGGGTGAAAGAACCCTAACCTGGCCAGGTACTAATTTTACTAAAATGCCCTTGAAAATTAAAATACTCAAAAAGCTTAAACTGTAGTGGGGAAATTTTCATAAATAAAATACTGAAAGCACACTCTTGTAGTTCAAAACAATGCCCTAACATGGGGCAAATTAAACTCAAAATTTAAAATCTCAAACTCATCTCCAGTCTATACTCATAATCATAAATTCTTGTGGCAAGGAAACACAATAATGGTGTTGATAGAGGAATGAGTTTCGAGTAAATTTTGGGGACGAAATTTTTATAATGGAGGTAGAAATGTTACACCCCATCTTTTTTAAGTCCAATAGACCATTGTGCCCTTGGTGTAATTTGTGAATTCCCACCTTAATATCGAAGAGGATTAAGAATGTGATCTTTCGGTTCAAACATGTCGAACTTTGATATAAAATAAGGAAGTTATAGACGTGAATTGGTTTTGGAATCAAGACTCAATCAAGGATCGATTGCGAGTGGGCTTTATCAATTCGGCCGTAACTGATTTTAAGGTTTCAGCCAGTGGGTTCTTGTTGGGCCTGGCGTAGAGACGGGCTCGTGGCCCGGGAAGAGAAAAAAATAACGGGCTGAGGCTCGAAAGGGAGAAAGTGGTGGTGCTTCTCAGGAAGAACTCGACCGGAAGAAGGGTGCA